GTACGTGCGTTGCACGTGTGTTTCGCATCAATCAGTATAAAATATATACAAGAAAAATAAATTATTGTATACAATTAAACAATATCTTCTTAACATACAAAGATGATGAATTTAGTTGAATTAGTTATATAATATTTGAAATTATAATATCTTGCGAAATAAGATATAAATATGTCATGTTGAATTTGTCAAAATGGTTATTTCAGCAAAATATTATAAACCTTAACTACTGGATATATATTTCTTGAAATTCTAGTTTACTAAATAGTACAATTTTTCACAAAACTCCAGTCACTAATTAGGTCAGTCTTGAGGAAGCTGTTCTTTAAACAAATTTTCTTGCATCTTCGTATAATGATATTAATTAAGTAGTTATTATTTTTCTTAAGATTTTAAAAGCTTGAAAAATTAAATAATAACTTAAATTTTTGAAAAGGAGATCTAGTGCATTCCTAAGATCACCCTACAAGGAAATAAAATATTATTTATTAATTACCAAATAATGAATAAAAAAATAATGAAGCTTTCAAATTAATGGTAACTTTTTCACAATCAATGTATCATCAAGATTCTGACACAAATATTTTATGTAGAAAAATGAAGGTAAGCTAATTTTATAATAAAAGAGATTAAAAATTTAAAAACTTGTTCAACATAAAAGAAATGTGGTATATGGTAGAGAATTATATATTTAAAGATTGATTTTTTTTAATTTAGAGGAAGGTTTAGTAAACAATATTTATTATGACTATAGATTATAAGAAAGTATAATCAGTTTTTCATTTTTATGAAGAATAATAAATAGAATCTAATTTAATTTGTCAAGATTCTAAAATAAATATTTTAGGTGGGAAATAAATTAAAGTTATTTTTTTTATATAACAAAGAGACTAAAAGTTTTAAAACATGTTATGATTTTTCTTTTCTCGGGTTGAGTCCTTTTTCCCCTTGATGCTGAAGTGACCGAACGAAATGTTGGGATTGATTCAATACCGAATCCCAGATCTCCATAGACGACTAATGGTAGGGGCTGCATTTTTCGGAAAGAAAGATAGTGGCAAATCTATATGTCTATTTTTTTACATGGTGATAAATTTTTTTTTTTAACCAAGGTACATAATATTAGTTCATACAGACTCAGAACCTTTCCAACTTTGTATCAAAATTAAAAGACAACCGAAAAAATTATCTTTTCTTAAAAGACATGGCGTTGGTATATAAAATATGGTTATATGGCATTGATAAATAGAATATGGTACTTGGATGTATTTTCGTTGGATAATTAAATCAACGTATAATGGTTGATTTTAAATTCTTAAGATTTTTAGTTAATTTAAAGGTTTACATACAATAAACTCTTAATATTTTTAAAGTTTTTGGACTTTTTACATGATTTAAATAAGAAATAATTTAATAATTAAAATTTTAATTAATTTTAAACTCATAAACGTAGATTTGTATAAAGTAAACTCTTAACAGTTTTAAAGTTCTATATGGTAGGACTTTCTGCATAAGTCAAATAAGAAAGATTTTAATGCGTAAAATTTTAATTCATTTAAACTATTAAATATTAAAAAAATAATTAATTGATTATTCAATAAATCATTACTTGTAGTACTTGACACACAAAAAGCCGTTAGTTTAAGTTCCATCTTCTATTCTAGGTAAATATTAATTCATTGTAGAAATGTATCTGTTGTTAATGAAGGGATAGGGGAGAAAACGTGGTGAACGTATGTTAAGTTGGTTTTTTTTTTTGGAAGTGAATGATATAAGGTAAAAGTTTAATTGATTTTAAAGTTCTAAATATTAGGACTTTCTACCTAGTTTAAATAAGGAAGGATTTAATACACAAAATATAATAATTAATTTTCAAGTCCTAAATATTAGGAAAATGATTTAAATGACTATTTTGTCTAGTACAAAACTTATTTTTAAAGGGTAAAAAAGGCAAACGACATTTTGCTAAGGGCCTTCGTGCTTTTACTATAGTATAGATAAGTACCCTTTGAATAAGGTTTTCCTTTCCAAAAGTCTTCTCATAAGTGTTTGGTCATGCAAAGTTTTGTGGAAATGTACGTTTATATGAAATTAGAGTTTATACTGGAATTTTAGTTTGCATGATTGGGCAGAGTGATAGTGATATTGAGTGTTAAATGGGTTAGCTTAGAGAGGCTAATTAAGCTCTTGCAGTGCCTATCACACTCCAAAGCTTGGGCCACAACAAGGATTGTGATGAACCTCTTTAGCTTATTTAGTTAATGTAATTGTATTTTTCTTTGCTTACTTGTGCTTGGATTTTTAATTACTTTGTCAAACTTATGCTTCATTTATTTTCATTGGGCGGCTTCCATTTAGAATTGCCCGTATAATCTCGAATTGAGCTTGGAAAAGAGAAATTTAAGTATGTGATTAGACTGAATAATGAGGGATTAGACCAATTAGGACAGTAATTTGTGACCGGGGATTGGAATATACCATTTTAACCCGAGTTAATACCCTAAAACCCGCTTAAACTATACGATCTTTGTCAGTTACGTACCTAAACTATTACTTGTCCCCAAAAACCCCCTGAACTATATCCCACTTCATAACAAAAATTCCTCGTCGCATTCTTACTAGTGTTTGAATACACTCTCCAAATTATTTTTAAATTCTGCCAGATGGCAATCTATGTGAATATTTGTTTATCTTAATCTAAAAAACAGACTTAGTTATGATTTTAATACTCTTTATTATATCATTGCAAAAAATTATAGGGAAATTACCAGCTATGTCCATTCATAAGTAGCTCATTACAAAAATTGGCCAATTGATAAAATATTACTAATATTAGCCAAATTAGCCAATTAGCTATTTGAAGCAAAAAAATATCAAATTTTTGCTTTGTTTTGAGTGGGTGTTATTAGAATAGATTGGGCACAACTTAAGGAGCTTGAATCTCAATTTTGGGATGATTTGGTGAAGTTTTGAGGTGGTTTGAATTGAAAATTCGAAGTAAAAGCTGAACATGAAAAAAAATGAGATGTGTATCACATTGTGTATCATTTGTGTATCACATATGTATCATATTTGTATCAATTGTGTATCACATGTATATCCATGTATACCTGTGTGTGAGATACATGCGTGATACATGTTTGATACATGTGTCGCAGAAGACTTTTTTGAACTCGATTTAATTACGAATTTTGATACAAAACCAGTCCAAATCACCTTCAATCTTCCTCAAATTTTGTATATTGACTTATCTATATATTTTCAATGAATTTCAACTATACCCATTGAAAAAGTTCCTTTTTTGCTTAGATTTTTGGAATATTGTATATATTTTTGTATTTCATCACCTTATTTGCTACCCCGTCCATGAAATTTCCTTTCCGTCTTGTATCTAATGTTGCTAATCACGCTTAAAAATATGGAAGGTGATTTTTGCATGTGATTCTTTGAAAGAAAGAACCTTATTATTTGGTGTTTCAATTTTTGTTGGCTAGTTTTGGTAAGTCTATGACTAATGGCTATAGGTTGGTAAGTTGAGATTTATTTGGGACATTTTTGTAAGTTTCCCAAAATTATATGGTAAAAATAAAAAAGGGGTCTAGAGTTAAAACTAGTGGCTCAATTGTAAAACACTCATTTTTTCTTTGCTCTCATCCGAGAATGGCTACACGATTTTCTCCATTAATCTTGGTTCTAACCTCGATTGCATTGTCTATTCTTGCTTCCATTCAAAAATCAAGATAAAAAATAGGGTTTCAACTCCTAAATCGGTATAGAATATTAGGGTTTTGATAGACCTAAATTATGAAAATTGTTGAAAGGAGATACCTATTTTTTTTTCCCTAGTTTCTTGAAAGGCATTAAACCTCATGCTCTTCAAATACTTGAAAGGGTGTTCCTTCTTTCAAACAAATTTAGGTAAAAAATGGAGGATGGATAAAACGAGAAAGATAAGAAATAAAATCAAAAATAATAAGAGAGAGAATTTCAAATGGATTCAAATGAAGAAATGGAGAAGAAAGGTAAAAAAATGAGGAAGGAAGGTGAAATATAAAGAAAAAGAGGAAAAAATAAAAATTATATTTAAATTTTAAAAAAAGAAGGGCTAATTAGCTGTTAGACACGTCATTTTAATGGGTGTTTTTTAGCATTCACGCGCTCTTGGGCGATTTATTACACACATAATGCCACATAAGCGACAAGGGGGTTTTATTACGAAGGGGGATATAGTTCAGAGGATTTTCGGGAACATGAGATAGTTTAGGTAGGTACCTGACAAAAGTTGAATAGTTTAGGCGGGTTTCAGGGTATTAACTCTTTTAACCCCAAATATTTGAGCTTGAATTGTGATGCATCCTACTTGTAGGTGCAGTTAGCAAGGGTATTTCAAAGAAATCTGGTATGGGATTGGTGCCAACTTCTAGGTAAACTCAAGAGTTTGTAGTATGTATTTCATTAACATAATCTGTTCAGTAGAAATGCACATTGAACCTTTTGCACAAAGATGCAGGTCATATATCCTTTTGTAGTTCTTATTTATTTAATGTTTCTCTGAAGTTTATATGCAAGATTTCAGATTTAGTTTAGCAAGTCAAGATGTGTAGGAGGTTAATCAATTCATTCATAAGTCAATCCAGAATCTCAAGCCTCACAATCTTGTGTTTTAACATTTCAGTCTTTACCAGTCCAGATGTCAGTACACATGCCAATATCACTTGAACCTAATGATAGAAATACATTTGTTGTTTTCTGTCCACTTTAGAAAGATAATTTGAAGAATAATACTGTCCAAGGCTGAGAATTCCTTTTAAAACCTCTAGCCTTGAGTTTGTTTAGGAGCTTGAATTAATGGTGAACAAGGAGTTGAGCTGCCTACTTATCAGCATGCTATTATTGAGAGCCACTAAAACTTCTAACCAAAAAGAACTGCCTAAGGGAATGACAGAAATTGAGTGAAAAACTCAAAAGGGAACACAAAGAGAGATGTTATGAAGGGAAAGAAAACTCCAAAAGTATTACACCACAAACATGAATACACCATAGATTAATCAAGTACCAATTGATGAGTGCAATGAACAACAGACATTGGTTGAACAATCTGATAAGTAAGATAATCAGAATTAGAACCTTCCAGTATAAACATCAGATGGTTGTAAAACAGCCAGGGCAGAAACTACATACACCTACCTACCAACTGAAAAGATGTCAAAGAGTATATCATCTATCTCCGAGGTTCGCAAAAAGGGGGTAAACAGGGCGTCTTTCGTGCAAACTAGATAGCCGAGTTCACGAGAGGCTTGTCTCTACAAAGTTAAGACAATCCCTGCATAAAAAAATGTTTGTAAGTTTCTCATAATATCTTTTTATGAGTTACATTATCTTGATTTATTTCCCACATAGAAGATGTATGCAAAAGGTAGAAATCCTACAAGAAAGCATGTTTCTTTACTGATAGCATCAACACTAACTGGAACATTAGAAGCACTCCAAGAATATCTGAAGAACAAAAATATTTACCAAAAATCCTACAAGAAAGCATGTTTCTTTACGAATAGCATCCAGTCATCAACGCTAACCAGAATATTAAAAGTACTCCAAGAATATCGAAAGAACAAAAATGTTCCACTAATCTGTACAAACTAATTTTGTACTCCATCAAACATCTCTATCTCTCTTTCCATATTGTCCACATCGTACTAAAGGAGCTACTTCAATGCTCTCCTTCTCTTCCTTCTAATCATTTTCATCGTAAAAGCACCTTTCTTACAGTTCCTGGCATCACTTATTCACTTCAAGTATGCTCCACACTGTACAGTATACTATATACGTCTACAGATGCTAAAATCATGGCATGTCAATTCATTGATCAAATATTGCTAGAAAAATTAACCAAGGAGAAAACCAAGAGTTGTATAGTTACAATGAAACTTCTAATACTTTCATCAGTAAAGAGGGAGGGAAAAAGGGGGCATTCAAGGAGAGTAGCTATTCCAGATAGTCTTGATGCCTTCGAATGAATAACTGCAAATTACTTGCTATTAAATAACTGGAAAAATAATTGTCTCGTGTTACTACTCACTCTGTCAAGGAACAAAAATTGGTGAACACTTCCAAAAACAAGAAGACTAAGCAAACACAGTTCAGGTATCAAAGATCAGAGATTTTATAAGTTTCCCTCGCTAAAAATTTAAAAGGTACCATAGCTCTACAGTTGTTGGAAATCAATATGGTATCACTAATTTTCTGAGACAAAAAGACCTACTGTTGGCTTCCAGGTTCAACTTAATACCAGGGAATACAATTCTCAATATAAGTTTATCCTTTTATTTTTAAAATCAAGAATCTTCCACAAGATCAATAGAACTCTTTGGACCAATGTTTTCTTAATAAAGGTGATATCCGGTCAAGCTTGTGTGTATCTCAATTAGTCAACAGAGCAGTTTGTTACAACCCACATGTACATATGATAGACTAATTCTATGGAAAGAAGCTAGAAACAGCAGCAAAGCATAAGCATCTCAACCAATTGCATAGAAGTACAGAATTAAGTAAAGTAATCAATAGAGTAAGTTCAATTAATACATCAGAGTTAATGTGCTTAGTTCACCAAGTGCCTCTATAACACATACATGTGCACATAAGATAAGAAAACGTCACAATGACAACATCTAAAAGTGGGAGTTGACAATCAACACAAAGCAAGATATAGCAGTTATAACGCAATCACCGAACCTTATGAGGTTTTGGCGTGCCAATTTATCTTTAGCTTGCTTCTTAACTGGTAGCATCCCTCCGATCAGAAGTAGGCTCTCCGAATAGTTGGAAATCTCATATGAACCCTTCTTAGCATTATCAACACTCACTTTTGCTTTAACTGAACTAGTCACTGGATCAAAGAACAGCAGTCCATTTTCATTCTCAACAACAATGTCACCATTCCTCAAACAGCCCACAATTCTGTCAAACCCGAATATCGGTCCAACCTTGCATTTCTTACTCCAACCATCTTCTTCATCCATTACCCAAACACTAATATAACATTCGTCTCTTTCCTCCCGAGTTAACAAACCAATAGAATCATCTATGGCCACAAAACATTGATGAACCACCTCTCCGGTTCCTGGCATAGGTAACTTCTCTAATACTTTTTTACCCACATCAAAGCGCACCAACACTGTACGCACCCCAAATTCATCAGTTATAAGAGCCAACCAATAAGGAACCCCTTTAACGATCGCGAGGCAAGTATAGGAAATAATATTACAAACCAGGTCACATTTCAGTTTCTTCCATCCGAAACTCTTGGTTGAATACATTTCCACATGGTTCGGGACTGTAGATGACGGCGCGACACAAAAGATTCTCAATATCAAAATATCATTCTCTTCGGGATCAAAGGCCAATCCAATGGATACCCAACAGTACATTCTCTTATCGGGCTTTTTCCCCGAAAGGGGCACCATCTTGGACTGCCTCATAGCAGGGTTCCAAAGGGTAATAACATCACCCAAAGCTTTCTGAAAAAGGCAGACAATGCCATTGATAGGACCCAAAACGACCGTATGAGGAAAGAAGCAAGGATGCGGGCTTTCCAGTTCCACAACTGATTCTTCAAGCGGGTTGTATAATGAGACTACATGATCAGAGGTCTCGTAATGGCGGGTGTGTAGAAGAATGGATGAACCGCTGCGCTGTAAAGCAGAGGAGTGGCTGAAATGGGCGGCGATGAAGTTTGGTTTAGAAATGAGGTTCCGCCATGGCTTGCATACGCACCTGAACCGTAAAAGGGACTTCACAGGGAGACGAGAAAGGATATTAGAGATGATTTCTCTTGGGAAAATGCAGTTGCATGTTGGGTCTGAAGCTCTGCTCTTTGTTTTCTTAGAATTCCCTTTCCCTTTCCCTTTCTTCTTCCCATTTCCTTTGCCTTTAGCTGGCGGCATCTTAGCTGGGAAGTGGCCGGAGGTTGAAAACGATGAATGCTTTTGTGAAATGGACGTACGGCCAACAGCCTAGTAGGGTTTTGAGGGTTTAAAAAAAATCAAGAAAACTTGTTTGGATTATATTGGGATATTCCAGTTAATTTTTGTTTAAGAATGTAATGGTCCAGAGTACCTAAATTAATGTAATATCTGCAATCTTTGTCTCGATTTGAGGAAAAATAGAGTACTCTGCATTTTGTACGACCAAATTGTCTTTTGTGTCCAGAATTAAGGACACGGCAAGTCGTCCATATTGGGCACCAACTCTGAAATTTTTTAAAATTATGTACGACTTATTAGTTTGGATATCTATTTTTCCTTACTAAAAGTAATTTTAAGAACAACACAAAGCTTCTTTAAATAAATACTCCATTATTATTTGAATATGGTTTTCCTTTCTAAAATTTGTCTTAAACGTGTTTGGGCATTCCAAGTTCTGTGAATATACGTTTGTGTTGAAATTTTGATTTATCTGATTAGGCAGAGTGTTGCGATACTGAGTCTTAAATGGGTTCGTTTCGAGATGCAAGGATTTAAGTATTGTTGCATATTGAGTAATTATTGGTGCTTTTATCTAGGCTTTGATTAGTTGAGTTTATCGTACGTCAATTAGATTGAGAATAAGGGCAATATGATCAAGAAGACAGAGGGAAATCTTATACTAGTACATCTCTCCGAACACGTTTAAGAGGAAATGAGGATCAATTGAAGTTCAGAGTGAATTTACTTTTTTAAATTCTCTATTTTCTTTAGGTTCTGGAATAACTAATAATTATTTCCGAGAAAAATATCCAATGGTAGAGAAAGCCTGAAGTAGCTGAGGTCTGCTAGCTTGTTCTGCTGAAGTGAAAGATGAATTTACCTAAACTTTAATACAGAAACTCCCACATTATGTTAAAATAACTGCAACGAGTAGTGCTCTTATCTTGACAGGCCAAGCAGATTGCTGAATCAGATTGATCGTTCTGTCATCTGTGCATGTTTTAACCTGGTTTTGACTTGACACTGCATTTCTACATTATTTCTTTTTACAAATACTTGCTTAGTAGTTTAATGCGCAAAACATCTATTTTTAATGTCATTTGGTGCAAATATGCTTGGCCCCATCATGTACTTATCATAAAAAGACACCTGGTGTTTTTTGGGTGATGATAAACAGGAAGAAATTGCTATGCTGTTAAATTTTCTAAAGTTTTCATATATGGTTTAGCAAGTCAAAATGTTTAGGTGGTTAATCAATTCATTCATAAGTCAATGCAGAATCTCAAGCCTTACAGTGTTGTAATTTAACATTTCAGTCTTTACCAGTCCAAATGCAAGTACACAAGCCATATCAATATGAACCTAATGGTAGAAATACATTTGTTGTCCTGTATCCACTTTTGGAAGATAATTTGAAGAAAAACTGTCAAGGGCTGAGAATTCCAATTAAAGACTCTAGCCTTGAGTTTAAGTTTAGGAGCTTGAATTAATGGTGTACAAGGAGTTGAGCTGTCTACTTATCAACATGCTATTATTCAGAGCAATTTGGAGTTCCAAGTCATCAGACCACCATTGCTGCAGCCTATGTGCCTCAAGAAACTTCTGCTTTCCCTTTGACACCACAAAAAGCTTTACTCCAGTTTGCCTGTTTCCAGGTTTTGCTTCTTTATCTTTATTACCATTGAACATATTGTTCTGTCCTCCATCCGGCTAATTATAGTAGTAGCAGATGTAGTCACTTGTATTAACATAGAAATGAGGCATTGGCAGCATTTGTTTAAGTTCTGAACTGATTCTTGATTCTGTAGCTTCAGCTGCAGCCTCATCAGCACTCTTGCCTAGATTCTGTGAGTTAGAAGGAAGCATTAATTTGAACTTTTTCCATACAAATCCAGCTTTCCCACCCAAGATTCTCAAACTCATGGTTAATGAAACAGATGGTGGATTGAAAAGATGTGCCTCTATATAAGTTCCATCTACAGCTAACGCCTTATATACCTCGAGAGCAAAGCCAGCTCCGAACGAGTGCCCTGTGATGGACACATTCTTGCTTCCTTGAACGTTGATGATTGATTTTATACCCGTTAAAACCCTATCAAAACTGAAGGATCCTTTAAGACTTTCCCATGCTATGTAACGTAGATCATCCTCAATATCTCTCCTTATTGTGGGGTTTCTCAAAAGTGTTCCTCTGATGGCTAATACAACCTTTGGTGCACCAGTTGGTCTTATGGGTATAAAATCAGCCAACGCTGCTATTTGATCCCACTCCAAAACTGCAGCAAATATGGAGCCATCTCTTTCATCAACAAGGACTTCAACTAGTTTGTACTTAAAAGGTGTCAACCACTGTGGTGCAAGAGCAGTTTCTGTGCTCCTATTTTCTTGCCTGTCAAGTTCGAGCAAGTATACTGCTTGTACAAAGCAGGCCATCACTATTCTTTTGTAGCTTTCATCCTTCCTGCACATTAATTTAATAAAGACATCATTATAAGTAGTACAAGGAATTCAGAGCGGAACGAAGAAGTCAAGGAAAAATGGGAACTAACCAACTGGAGCTGATGAGTTCTCTCCAACCGGGAGAAGAAATATGGCGAGGTCCCAATACATGGAATGCCTTGGGATGGTGCTGAAAAGAATGGTTTCTTTCCATGGACTTTTTTCTGAAGGACCAATATGTGTTCATTTGTGCACTTCCTTTTCTTGTAAGATCTCTTAATTAGGTGTACATATAATATGAGAGGCAACACTTGAGAGACCAGCCTTCATAAAAGAGAATAAACACTCCTCCCCAGGCCTAGAAAAATGAGACTTGAGGGGGTTTGGGCGGTCACTTTTGCTTTTTATATTTGTGTATGCCATCGGATTCCACTGAATTTGTTTGGGGGAGGGGTTCTTCCACTATAAAGGGCAGCCCGGTGCACTAAGCTCCTGCTATGCACGGGACTATTGTACACAGACTTACCCTACATTTTTATAAGAAACAGTATCCGCGGCTCGAACTCGTAACCTCCTAGTCACATGATAAAAACTTTACTAATTAGGCCAATTAGGCCAAGATTCCCCTTCACACTATATGCACACATAACATAGGGAATTGGACATATATATACTTTTGCACTCATCATCTTTTAAGTAATGGAAGGTACAAATCTACTGTGAATGAAATGAGAGATAATTTCCTAATGTAAGGGTGGTGTGGTGGAGGGAGGGAGACTTCTCCTTCGGATCAGAACTGTCAATTTTTTAACTTGGTCTATCAATACAACTTTAGTAATTGATGTTGTTAAATGATTTTCTAGATAGGGGACATAAAACTTAAACGACAAATTGAAAAGGATAGAGGGAGTGTTCGTAATTTTTATAGTTTGCGCTAAAAGAGGCAAGTGTTATTTTGTGCTTTGTAAAGTACAGCTACCCTTGCTAAAAAATAGTCTAGCAACAAGGGACCTATGCTTTGAATAGTGGACGTCGTTGGTCTATTCTAATTCCTAAACATCTGCTTACAAAAGAATCTGATTCTATTTTGCGCTGAATGACCTAAAAGAAACTAGCATTATGCTCTTGGAATGTATCTCTTTCTCCCCCTTTTTATAGACACACACATATGTAGAATTGCAAGAGTTTATGCATGTATACGGTCGAGATCGTATGCCTTCGATCTATAGGCTCGAGAGGTTGTCCAAAGCCCGAGTTCAGGTAAGATCGGGTTCGAGCTCGACAGATTAGACCCGAGCCCGAGGGCGGTGCCCCAAGAAAGGAGTGCAAGGTATACCGAAGTTAAGTATGCTCGACCCCGAAATTATACCGTTATGGATTTGTAACAGAATGAGCTAGGTTCCTGCCACGTCCCCAAGATCATGGCACAAATTCCGGAATAGAATTGTACGATTCCGTACCAGGCGGTTAGACAGCTGTATCAAGAATACTCCTTACTGTAAATAGAAATATACCTTATTTAGGGTTCCCCTGTTATATAAAGGGGACCCCAATCATTTTGTAGCATGATCTAATCATTGAGAAAAGAATATACTCTCTACTTTTTGCCTACTGTTCATCAGAATTGTCCTTTACATTTATTGTTCTTACTTTATTGCTCTTAATCCATCTCGAGGTTACTAAGCTCGAAGTCACTACTGCTAAGTAACATTGGTTTGATTCACTTGTTTCTTTCATTTCTACTTTATATTTCTTGATTATTAATTGGTATTGAACTAAATCACATATCTTTAAAATCACAAATCAAATTAATTGTTACTCGTATTTTCGAGATAAACAGTTTGGCGACCACCGTTGGGCTAAAGATAATAGTGATTATTTCCTTACTGATTCTCATTACACACGTTGTTTTTACACTTATTCTTGTCAAGTTTTTTTGATTCTCAGGATGAAACATGTCTAGCTCACAAAATGCACCTATTCATGACAACGATGGTCTTGGAGAAAACAATAATGTAGGGGCGGTGTACCACCGATAAACCCAGGGGAAGTGCCAAATATGGAATCGGTTGATGTTAGTTCACACATTGCTCTAAACGCGGACTTAGGCACAGACCCCGGGGGGAATGTATGCAAGGAAGCTCGATCTAGTGGCCAAGGAGCGCAAGGAATGGGAGATGGCGGAATTAGCCTCCAGATGATATTCGAGATGCTACAAGCTCAGCAAATCGCCATCGCCCAACTTCAAAGTCAGAATAAGACTCTAAGTGTAGCTGAACATGAAAACGCTCGGCGTGCTGAACCAGCACTAGAGAGGTCGAACGAAAATGACTCAGGACCCACCATCATGAGGATGCTCGAAGAGCTCACTAAGAGGATCGAGTCCGGGGAAAAGAAGATTGAGGACAATAATAAAAATGTGGGGACTTATAACTCTCGTGTAGACCAAATACCGGGGGAACCTCCAGTTTTGAAAGTTTTAGATGCCAAAAAGTTCATACAAAATCCATTCCCCCAGAGCGCCTCCGATGCCCATTCCCAAAAAAATTCGCATGCCGGATATAGCCAAATATAACAGGACAACCGACCCCAACGAGCATATTACTTCATATGCTTGCGGGATCAAAGGAAAGGACTTGAATGACGATGAAATCGAATCAGTTTTATTGAAAAAGTTTGGAGAAACATTGTCGAAAGGAGCCATGATCTGGTACCATAACTTACCTCCTAACTCTATTGATTCATTTTCTATGTTAGCAGACGCCTTCGTGAAAGCACACGCCGGGGCCATAAAGGTGGCTACGAGGAAATCGGACGTCTTCAAGATAAAACAAAGGAACGACGAGATGTTAAGGGAGATCGTGTCTAGGTTTCAGATGGAAAGAATTGAATTACCGTCGGTCTCCAATGACTGGGCAGTACAGGCCTTTATGCAGGGATTGAACGAACGGAGTTCGATTGCATCTCGACAAATAAAGCGGAACTTGATTGAATATCCAGCTGTGACATGGTCAGATGTGCACAATCGTTACCAATAAAAAATCAGGGTTGAGGACGACCAGTTGGGAGCCCCCTCGGGTTCAGTTCATCCTAGCAGGTTGGAAGCCAAGCCCCCGAGGGACACATACTGGGAATCATGATTCAACAAAGAACGGTATCAGCCATATGTCGATCGGAGGAACAACGGCCCGATCCGTAACGCTCCTCGGAACGATCGGAGAAACGATCGAGGTCAAAGTTCTCGGGGACTCATGAGTAAGAGCGGGTTCGATAAACATACCAACCCCGCAGAGGCACCTCGACTATCAGAGTATAACTTCAGAATAGATGCATCTGGGATTGTGTCAGCTATTGGGAGAATCAAAGACACCGAGTGGTCGAGGCCCATACAAATCGATCCTTCTCAAAGGAATCCGAACTTGATGTGCAAGTATCATGGCACACATGGTCATAGAACCGAAGATTACAGGCAACTAAGGGAGGAAGTAGCTCGATTGTTCAACGAAGGTCATATTTGAGAATTTCTCAGTGATCGAGCTAAGAACCACTTCAGAGAGAGAGAGAGAGATATACAAGAAAAAATGAGCAGGAAGAGCCACAACATGTAATCCATATGATCGTTGGCGGCGTTGATATCCCACAAAGACCTGTGTTCAAACGTACCAAGGTGTCAGTCACAAGGGAAAACGGACTCAGAGCTATGTGCCCGAGGATGCCTTATTGTTCTATGACGAAGAAGCAGAAGGCGTACCTCAGCCACACAACGATGCCCTGGTAATTTCTATCCTTTTAAATAAAATTCAAGTTAAACGTGTTTTAGTGGATCCAGGTAGCTCAGCAAACATAATCAGATCGAGGGTCGTAGAACAGCTCAGCCTGCAAGATCAGATTGTACCTACATCCCAGGTCCTAAATGGCTTCAACATGGCAAACGAAACAAAAAAGGGAGAGATTATCCTACCAGTAAACGTAGCCGAGACCATACAAGATACAAAGTTTCATGTCATCGAAGGTGACATGAGGTATAATGCACTCCTCGGAAGACCATGGATACACAACATGAGGGCAGTACCTTCAAATCTTCATCAGATGATGAAGTTCCCAACAGAGGATGGAGTAAAAACTGTCTACGGAGAGCAACACGCCGCAAAGGAGATATTTGCAGTCGATGAAGTAACACCGATACCAGAGCCGTCGACCTCAGAAAAGTCGAACGCTAAAGGTAAGCAAGCGGCCAAATAGCAATCACCGCCACCAGCCTCGATGGAATTGGAGCAGCAGGTAATCGAAGACGAAGAAGAGGATTTTCTCACTCCTCGAACCTTCGTCGTTCCCGAGGAGTCCGATGCAACTAAGTCAACGATCGAGGAACTAGAGCAGGTATACTGATCGAATACATGCCCGAGAGAAAGGTATACCTGGGAACGGGATTAACCCCCGAACTTAGGAAAAAACTCATTCAATTTCTTATTGATAATATGGATTGATTTGCTTGGTCCCATTTAGATATAACAGGGATTCCACCGGAAATAACAACACACCGGCTAAGCCTCGACCCCAGGTTCAAACCGATAAAGCAAAAAAGGAGGCCCCAGATCGAGGTGAAGCACGCATTCATAAAGGACGAGGTAACCAAACTTCTTAAAATAGGGTATATTCGGGAGGTAAAGTACCCCGAATGGTTAGCCAACGTAGTTGTAGTTCCTAAGAGAAATAAACTTAGAATGTGTGTAGATTACAAAGATTTGAACAAAGCATGCCCAAAAGACTCTTTCCCACCGCCCAACATCGATCGTATGATCGCTGCCACTGCCGGCCACGAGATTCTAACTTTTCTCGACGCCTACTCCGGGTACAATCAGATTTAGATGAACCTGGAGGACCAGGAAAAGACTTCGTTTATCACTAAATTTGGAACTTATTGTTACAACGTAATGCCCTTCGGGCTAAAAAATGCAGGAGCTACATACCAACGCCTAGTTAACAAAATGTTTGAAGAACAAATAGGTAAAACAATGAAAGTTTACATTGATGATATGTTGGTTGTCCCTGCGCACAAAGTACCATTTAGCTCATTTGCAGGAAAAATTCAAAATTTTGAAGAAATACAACATGAAGCTTAACCCGGAAAAATATGCCTTCGGAGTCGGCTCGGGTAGGTTCCTCGGCTTCATGGTATCAAATCGAGGCATCGAAATTAACCCCGATAAGATCAAGGCCATCGAGGATATCACGATCGTGGATAGTGTGAAGGCCGTGCAAAGGCTAACA